ATCTAATAGATATTTGAGAAAAGTTTGAATGGAAGTATAACAARGAAGGAGGACTTATGTACCTTAATTTGTCATGAACATGCATGCAAATAACCATCTTTAATAATTAACCTATTTTTCTGTTCATTGAGTTAAAACTATTTTACTCTTTTAAAAAATCTTCTTTGGGGGCTAGGGTTGTAGCTCAGTAGAGCACTTGCATGAAGCATGTATGAGGCACTGGGTTTGATCCTTAGCACCATATAAAAATAAAATAAAGGTATTGTGTCCACCTACAACTAAAGTATTTTTAAAAATCTTTTTTTGTTCATGTCCATTATTACAGCAGAAATGGATAATTTGCATTGGGTGCTTAAAAGTATTAAATGATGATTAAGTTTAATTGATTACAACACTATTGTAATTAGAAGAGATAAAGAAGAAATTCAAAAGAGATGAGAAAGGGATGCTGTCAGAATCCTAACCTTAGTAACAGAGAACCATTTACATACATGTTAAATTGTAAATAGAGGAGGATTGAGAGTTAATATTAGATTTATCCTTTTTTATTTTAAAAAAGTATCCACTGATTAAGATTGTCATATCATGCATAAAACAAATCTCCTTAGAATGATTCAAGTGCTATCTTATACCCACACTATTGATGGGAAAATTCATGATAAATTTCTGGGATGATATGTATCAAAAGCCTTCCAAGTTGTCCACTGTTTTCTGCAGCAATTTAATTGTTAGGACTTTTTTCCTATTGTATATTAAGAATGTACACAAAGGTTATGTTATAGGTTAATATAAAACATTTAAATGACATGAATGTTAAACATTTTATTAAAATTATAAGTGATTTATTTTTAGTACAGTAGAATTGGTTAAATAAGTTACCACAATAGTGTATATAGTCAATGTTATATGGTCACAATTCAGGATCATGTACAAGGATATTTGTAGTATGAAAGGATTCAGGATATACACTAAGTAAGAAAAGACAGAAAAGCAGAAGAAAAAGTATTAAAATTTCATATACATTTTATACACACAGATGCAAACATAAGAATGAAACACACCAATGTATTAAGTGGTTTAAACAGTTATTTAGAGTACTGGAGAATAGGTAAAATCCTTCCCCACTCCCAACCTCCCCTTCTCCCTCCCTTCTCTTGCCTCCTCCTCTTCTTCCTCCCTCTTAGTTTCTTCTGTTTCATGAGCATTCAGACATTTGTTACTTTTAGATTCTGAACAAATTACACTGCTTTGACAGAGTTACTTTTCCATAAATTTTGCTGTTTGGATTTTTCTTCGTGATTTGGGTGGAAAATAAAGTGAAATGGTATGTTCTCTTTTCCACTTCTTTTGGGATTCCAGGTTTTCTTCTTCCACAGAAGAAGCGGGGGGAAAAGATAGGAGAGGAGGACTTTTCAGAAGTAGACCCAGAAGCCATTCTGCTCCTTTATTCCTCTTTAGAACACAGATTTCTTTTAATTAAGGCATTTCTGTTTCTTTTTGCATGTTCTGATAATTGAGGGACTGTTGTGGACAAATAAGTCAGATATTTTTCTATACAATGTTTCATGGTCTTAAAATGTTGAGTATTCCTTCTCCTCAACAGTTAATAAGAAATTCATTTTAGCTTTAACATGAGAAAGTAAAATGATTCATAGCTTCTCATACGTCATATCATTTTTCTAAAAGTTAATAAATCTAGGCTTTTTAATTGTCTAGTTAATTTTTGCATAAAAAAAATTAAGGGGCCAAAACCAAGCTATGTTTAAAAGCCAAGATAAGAAAGGTGGCACCAGAAAAAATAGCATTCAATAATGATCAAAAGCAATTGCCTGTCACTTCTAAAACTGACAATTCTAGATCTGAGGTAGTCTTCTGATATTGAAGTCTACATAGTTCGTTGCAGATTAGGATGTGCTGAGAAACTGGTAGGGGCAGAACGTTATTGAGAGTTGCTATACTAACATTTTATAGAGCCTGCCATCAAACACATTGTTCAAGTTTTGAGAACATTAAGTTTGTGGGAGGTAAGTGAAGTTTTTACTACAGTAACTCTATCTTCAGTCAATCCTTTTTGTTTGTTTGGTACCAGGGATTGAACCCAGGGGTACTTAGCCACTGAGCAACATTCCCAGCCCTTTATTATTTTTATTTTGAGATAGGGCCTTGCTGAGGCTAGCCTCCAACTTGAGATCCTCCTGCATTGGCATTCTGGGTTGCTGGGATTACAGGTGTGCACCACAAATCCCATAAGTGCAATCATCACTGGTGCTTTGTGCATTCTGAGGAAACTGATGTTAGAACCACCTTTTTGACCTTATGTCTTTCAACTAATTTCTCCACTTTTGGGATTCTGCATGGCCCAAACTGGATGTCAGGGGTGCTGGTTCCTAAATTCAGTGCTGGGTCTACTTGAAGGGTGAAGATAGGGAACAGCATGGTTTTATTTTCACAAAGGGCAGCTAAATCCTGTAGGAGAGAAGTCATGGCAAGGAAAAGGGGAGTCCATTGAAACTGAAGTTATGGACAGCATTCAGGAATCCCAACAATGACTTATAGTTGGTTACGTGTCAAGAGAAGCCACTTCCAGAGAGCTGAAACCTATGGGATAAAGAACAAAGCGGATACTGGAAGATCAAGTTCTCAGAACTCCAGTGACAAGTGTGTGGGGGAGGGAGACACAAAATTATGGGATTTTGAGCGGTTTGATTTTTACAGATGTTGGGAAACATACATTTTTGTATCTATTATTGTTACTCTGGCCTTATTCTCAGCCTGTTCTCATCTGGAAAACGGATTTTTAAAAAAATGTCCATTTGGAAAGAGCAGGGAGAGACGTTTATGACATAGCACATACAAAAGGTACACCATGTAAGTGGGCTTCTTATCCCTATGTTATGGTTTAAATGTGAGGTATCCCCCCAAAATTCATGTGGGAAATAATGCAAGAAGCTTAGATGTGAAAGGATTGGGTTATAAGAATCTAAAACTAATTAGTGCATTAACCCTCTGATAGAGATTTACTGGGTGTTAACTGCAGACAGGTAGGGTGTGCTGAAAAAGGTAGGTCATTGGGAGCATACCCAGGGAGTCTCTCAGCTTCCTGGTGCCATGTTCTGAATTGCTTCCCTTTGCCACACTCTTCTGCCCTAATGTTCTCCTCACCTGGGGCCTAGAGTGATGGAGTCAGCCATGTATGGACTGAGACCATTGAAACGGTAAGCCCCCAAATAACCTTTTTTTTTTGTTTGTTTCTAAAGTTGTTCTTTTCAGGTCTTTTGGTCACAGCAATGAAAAAGTTTACAAAAATAAACAATAAGCACTGGGGACTAAGGGTATGTTTCAGAGAAACACAACAGTTATGAGGAAATCATTGAGCAAAGATGGAAAAATTTTCATCTTCAAAATAAGAATTTGACATTCATGTGTCAGACCAATAAATGACATGSCACTTGGAGTGATCAAATTTATCCCTTCCAGGTACACCTGAGCATTAGATACATATGATGGAAATGTTCTTTGGTGTCACATTGCTTTATTAGTACTGTACAGCTAGTCACCTTGATGACATTTGCATCTAATTTGGAAAATACTTTCTAAAAACCAATAACAACTTCAAGATAGAATAAAAAATTCTACACACCTAACAGCTCCTTCCTATCACATGAATGTGTAAATTGAATTCCTTCCCAAGATAAAGTTAAAAAAAAAAAAAAAAAAACAAGACAAAACAAAAAAACTCCCAAAGATTGGTTTCCCAAAAATGTTTTCATTGGCTTTAGGGAACTAAAATACACCAGTGTATGGGTGACTAATACTTCCTGTATAATAAAGATAGATCAACAYATAATTAAGTTCTGGCTCAAATATAATTGTTGTCCTGGAAACAGTTTTGGGGATGAATATGGTTATGTTAATGAAACTCCTCAAGATTTCCACCAATGATCCAATTTATTAATTAAACCAGATCATATAGTTACCTTGTGCTGCCATTTAAAAAAGGTTTAGGAAAAAAATCAAAGAAACACACATATAAAAAATTTCCTGAGAGAACACTGGGGAGAGAGAGAGAGAGAAAAAAAAAAGGAATAAATCGCTGATCAGTTATTAGCCCTTGTCCTTACTTCCAGCTGAAGTAGATTGAAAGTGCTTCTTGGATTTCTTGTGGGTTTCAAAGATCCTTCTTGCCTCACTGGGCAGAAAACAGTAGTATATAACAGCATTTTGAATAATCCTTAGCATTGTGTCTTCCAACCCAACATCCTTAAGCAGTCAGGGTTTTCTAGTTCCAGCTCGCAATATTGAGTAGTTTTGTAGGAAGTTCTACTTAATGTGTAGCCCAAAGGGGAGTCTGCCTGACCTGAAGGGTTTTGTTGAGACCCAGTGTGAACTCTGGGCGCCAGAGCGCATCTCAGCTCTTTAGATCACACCCACTCGGGTGTGTGAGTGTGTGCGCGGGCGCTTACGCGCGTGTGTACGTGTGGGGAGGTGTGCGCCAGAGGGGTGGGGTGAGGGGTGGCGAGGAGGGCTCTAGGTGAAGCTCGAGGAGAGGGAGGTCGCCCGCTCCGGCCTCTCCCCCAGGGGCCCAGGCGGCAGGCTGGAGCTCCAGCACCTACTGGTGCGCGCAGCCGCGGCGCCACAGGCCCCTTGACTCTCCAACCACCGCCCCCGGCCCCGCGTCCCGCCGCCGGGACCGGCGATGGCGCGGGACTGACGGCCGCCTCCTCTGGGACTCCTCTGCCCCGCCCAGGGTTCGCGGGGGCCGCGGCACCGCCCCAACCTGCATGTGGGGCGGGCGCCCCCGCGCCCCGAGCGAGCGGCCCTCCGCGCCCCCGAGGCGGTGCCTGGCCGCGCCGGAGGACGAGAAGGAGGAGCGGCGGGCCGGGCCGGGCTCCCCAGGCACCGCGGCCCGGGAGCACGGGCTCCCTGGAGGGAGCTTGGGGCGTCCCAGCCCCGGAGGAGGGACCCGGAAGCAGAAGCGGAGCCGCGAGTGGAGCCGAGCCGCTGCCCCCGCTGCCCGCCGGCGCCGGGTGGGGGTCCCGGCGGCTGGATGGGCAGCGGCGGCGCGGGCCGCGGGCGGCGATGGGCGAGGAGCAGAGCACGGTGAGCTGCGGCGGCGGGCCCCAGGAGGCGCGGGGCCCGGACGGGGGCTCCGCGGGCCACCCTGAGTCCCCGAGGCCGCGGGGGGACAGCGCCGGGGCTCCCGGGCCGCGCGGCGACTCCTCGGAGTCGAGCGGCGGCGGCTGCGGAAGCGACTCAAGCTGTGCGGACACCAGCGCCTCGGAGCCCACGAGGAGCCGGGGAGCGCCCGAGTGGAGGAAGAGCCAAGCACTGGGGCAGCCCGCGGGACTGGCACTCACCGGGCCCCTCAATCCCCAGACTTTGCAACTGCAGCTGGAGCGGGAGGAGGAGGAGGAGGAGGAAGCTGGGGACAGAAAAGAGAGAGGGGATGAACAGCAGGAGGCGTCCCCCAGGGAGGAGACGGAGCCCAAGACCCACGCCGTGGCTCCCGATGGAGTGGTCTTGGACGTGCTGGGTCAGCGGCGCCTGCCCCCAGCCAAGAGACAAGTCTTTTGCTCTGTGTACTGCGTGGAGAGCGACCTGCCGGAGGTCCCCACCKCTGAGAAGCTCTCGCCGCCGGCGTCGCCACTTCGGGCTCCGCAGGTGCCCAACACCTCCAACCCCCAGTCCTCCTTCCCCAGCCCCAGGCTGTCACTCCCAGCTGACCCCCTTTCCCCCGACGGCGGCAGCATCGAGCTGGAGTTCTACCTGGCGCCTGAGCCATTCTCTGTGCCGGGCCTGTTAGGAGCTCCACCCTACTCTGGCCTGGGCGGGGTAGGGGATCCCTATGCGCCCCTCACGGTGCTGATGTGCCGGGTGTGCCTGGAAGACAAGCCCATCAAGCCCCTGCCCTGCTGCAAGAAGGCCGTGTGCGATGAGTGCCTCAAAGTCTACCTGAGCTCCCAGGTAATGTCACCTTTTTTGTACTCCCTTGGCTTCCCTTTCATCATTTCAAATCTCTGGCAAGGAGGTCCCCTTTCAAGCTACCTACTAAGGGAAGAGCTGACAGGACCCATTAATGAAGACTGTAAGATCAGGCGAGGCAGGTAGCCACCAAAGGAAGCAGACTTTAAAAGGCCACCGAAGGAGGCTTTATTGAGATATCACTCCATCAGACCACAGAGTGGTCAGGAGAAGGGTCTGAGGAGAAACCTGGTGGGAGCTCTACTGGAATGGGATTTTATGGGGCTCACTGCAGGAAGGGAAGGGATTGGGACAGGAAAGGGGATTTTTAGGGTCCCTTGTCCTGCTGGAGTTGGGCATGGGAGCTGGCTGAACTCCAGGATTGGCCAGGGGGTCCTGCTGATTGACAGGCATTAATCAGGAGATCCTGCTGATTGACAGGCATTTTGGCAGGCACCTGATAGATGTTTCCTTTCCCTCGTGGGCTGCAGTCACTGCCACTGACCTAACATCCCGGGCCTTTTTGGTGATACAGGTCAGCTAATTTCGTCTAGCTACTTCCTGCTGCTTAGGGGGCTGGGGTAAGGGGATGGCTCTGGTGTAGGTTCGGTGGGTAGGCGACTGCAGGGGTGTAGGAGCATCTGGTTGAAGGTCACTCTAGCAATTTCACTCAAGCGCTTTTGAGCTAACCTGAGGAGGCAGGGAGCAATCATTAATAGAAGTCCTATTAGTACTATAGGAGTGAGAATGGGAGTCAGCCATGTAATGAGGGTTGAGTTTAGCCAGCCTGGTCAAGGGTCATTTGATTGTTGCTGTTTAAGCCTTTCACCCAAACGACGGAGGGTGTCAACATTCTCTTCAATTGATCCACTTTCATTGATATGTTAGCAGCATTCTTCTTTCAGGAATAGACAGGTTCCTCCTTTGTCTGCTGTCAGAAGATCTAGAGCTGAGACTTGGGCAAGAGATGTTATTTGCCTTTGTAGGGAAGCGACTGATGCCTCTACTGCTTCCTGAAGTTGTTGTTCAAGCTTTTGAGTAGCGGTTACTGCATAACCAAGTCCTCCTGCCCCGAGTCCAGAGGCAGCAAGGGAGGAGGCCAGGGAGAGTCTAACTACTACTGGTAGAAAGACTGGAAAAGGAGGTAGTAACAAGTCCTGGAAAGAGAGGTAGTAACAAGCCATGTTCATTCAGCCTCACTGTACAGAGTTAATTGGGGGACCAATGTGGAAGGAACACAAAAAGCAAACAGCATGTTGAGGCTTAGATTTTTTGTTAGGGTACCATTGCACCAGAAAAAGAACCCAGGTGGAGCAAGGTTAAGGAAGAAATTCCAACAATCTGGTCACAGGGTGCTGAACCTGAGGAAGTGTAGCAGCAAGAGAAATTCCCTGATGAGTTACGAAAAAGAGGTACTTCCTCAAAGGCTGGAGAGGGGGGTCCTTGGGGGTCTAGTTGAGGTATTGAGCAGAAATCAATGGGAATCRTGGTTAACGGAGTATGATCCAAACCTGCGCAGAGGAAACAGTCTGAAATGTTATTAACTTTGGACAAATTGAGAAGCTGAAGGTCCTGATTAGGGCCATCCATGAGAAAGGGTCAGCTTTAGCATGGGCAACTGCATCCAGCTGGTGTTGGAGTTCCTTCTCTTGCTCCTGGATGGTTATGTGAATTTGAGGGAACACTTGTATATAAGTTCTCCATATTCTGATAGAGGCTGAAGGGTATTTGGCAAAACCCCAAGACTAAAATTTACCATCAACACCAGAAGCCCATTTTGGGTCCCATGGGTCCCAAATACTTAATTTGGGGTGTGCTTGATTCTCATAACAAACTTATCTAGGAAGTGTTTCTTTCATGAATTATAAGGGCACCCGCCATAGGTGTCAGGCCAGCGCTTACAGGATTCTTCAATTTGGTGTATTATGAAGCATAGCATTGCTGAACATAAGTGGGACGAGGTGGCCTGATTGAATCCAGTAATATTAAGGGTGACGGCCCAATTACAGCCAGTGAAAGGGCAATCGCCTTGACCCATAAACTGAGAGCTGGTGGTGCCATCCTGCTGCCATGTTGCTTGGATGTAGAAGCGCCATCTATGGGTTGGGATAGAAGCTTGAGAGAGATTAATGATTAGTAATACAAGGAGAGGGTTGGTGAGAAATCCTGAGTTTGGTGGGCCCCAACATGGTGGAAGTCCAGGACTGCACATTTGGAACCGGTGCTTTTTTAAGGCAGGAGACATGGTACCAGGGGGAGTGGCCCAAGAGTTTGGCTGCTGTTGGGATAGCAGGTATGACTGTATGGGRTCCTGTCCAGCCAGGTTTCAACAACTGAGGATGCAGCTCTTGAATTAAGACTGTGTCACCCAGTTGAAGAGGGTCCAATTCAATTCCTGATTGTGCTGGGACAGATGGTGCAGGAAGACACCCGTCTTCGTGTTCCCTTAGGAGTTTATGTAGAAATGTGAGATAGGGCAGATAAGACACAAGGGGAGGAGGAGTGACAGGAAAGTTTTGGTTGATTAAGAAAGGGCACCCATAGAGCAGCTCAAAGGGGCTAAGGCCTGAGGGGGCTCTAGGGGTTGCCTGAATTCGGGTGAGGGCCAATGGCAGAAGATTGGGCCAGGACAGTCTGAGTTCAATAGCAAGTTTAGTGAGATGATCCTTGAGAATGCCGTTAGCCCTCTCAACCTTACCACAGGATTGGGGTCGGTGGGGGATGTGGAGCCTCCAAGTGATGTTGAGGCCTTTGGAAACTAGTTGAACAACCTGAGAATTGAAGGCTGGACCCTTGTCTGACTGAATGGTGGTGGGAAGTCCAAACCTGGGAATGAATTGCTCAATGAGGATGGAGGCGAYGGTGTCAGCAGTTTCCCTGGAGGTAGGGAAGGCTTCTGTCCAACCTGAAAAAGTATCAACCAAAGTAAGTAGGTAGTGCAGCTTTTTGTGCCTAGGCATGTGAGTGAAGTCGATCTACCAGTCTTCGTATGGTTGGTGGCCTCTCATCTGAGGTGTAGGGAGTTTAGGTTTGATGCCCCCTTGTGGGGATACTGTAGAGCAGACAGAACAAGCCCAGTGGACCTGCTGGAGAGTGGTTCTCATTCCTGGGAAGTAGAAGAGGGGTTGTAAAAACTGGAAAAGGGGCTTGGGGTCAATATGAAGAGAGTTATGTATGTCCATCAATAGACTCTAAGCTTGCTGTTTAGGGAGGGCAATTTTATCCCCCAGGAAAATCCAGCCATCCTTCCCAAAGTGGACACCTTGGGTTATTAGGTCCTGTCGTTCCTGTGGAGGATAGTTAGGCTTAATTGTGGTGGATAAAAATAAGATAGGAGCTGCTGAGAATTTTGTTGTTAGTTCCTATGGCTATAGAGTCTGCTTTGTTGTTGCCTATAGCTATAGGGTCAGAGGGATTTTTATGTCCTCTGCAGTGTATGATGGCCACTCGTGATGGCAGTTGTAGTGCCTGTAAGAGCTTAGAGATGAGAGAGGCATTGACCACTGGTGATCCTTTTGTGGTCAAGAATCCTCGTTCCTTCCAAATAGCTGAATGTGAATGAGCAATTAGGAAGGCATATTTGGAGTCCATATATATGTTAACCTGTTTGCCTTTGGATGAAGTAAGAGCCCTGATAAGTGAGAAAAGTTCAGCCTTCTGGGAGGTGGAAGGAAGCCGGCTTCCAGAATTGAGGCAGCAGTGACTACTGCGTATGCAGCTCTACGACGTCTGTCATGACCCATCACTGAACTGCCATCCACAAAAATGGTTAAGTCAGGTGAAGGAAGTGGGTAATCAAAGAGGTCCTCACGGGGTGATCGAAGGGCCTCTAGCACCTGTGGACAGGAATGGTTAGCACTTGAGGGGGGCTGGGATAGTGGGAGGAGTGTGGCTGGATCCAGAGGAGACGAAGAACAGAGGGTAATGGTGGAGTTCTCTATAAAGAGGAGGTGGAATTCTTGAATTCCTGAAGGGCTCAGAAGAGGAAGTGACTTATGGTTTAAAAGGTCCTGCAGTTGATGAGTGGAGAATACAGTTATTGGTTGGAGCAAAGTAAGTTTTAGGGCTTCCTTAGTTATTTCTGCTTCTGCTGCCAGTGCTCGGAGCTATGGTAGCCATCCCCGAACCACAGAGTCAAGCTGCTTGGAGAGGTATCCCACCGGCTTATAGGAGGGTCCAATTGGTTGAGCGAGGAGGCGACACCCTGTCTTTCATCCATAAAGAGGTGAAAAGGATGGTTAGGGTTAGGAAGAGAAAGAGTGGGAAAAGAAGTAAGAGCATCCCTGAGCTTGTAAAAGAAATTGGCTTCTAGGTTAGGGGAGGTGAGGGGCCCATGAGGAGTCTCCTTAGCTGCCTGGTACAAAGGTTTGGCAAGAAGTGCAAAGTTAGGAACCCAATGCCTGAAAAAAAACCTGCTAGACCCAGGAAGGAAAGGATGTAGTCCACTGTTTCGGGTGGCTGAAATTCACAGAGAGCTTGAATCCTGTCCGTTTTCAGGCTTTTAGAGGTTGGAGTGAGAAGTACACCTAAATAGGTAACTCAGGAGGTAGTAAGCTGGGCTTTGGCTGGAGAGACTCTATAGCCTGGGACCCCAGGAAATTGAGGAACTGAACAGTGTGTTTGGGAAGCCTTAAGTGATTAACTGCATAGGAGGAGGTCACCCACATACTGTAAAAGCGTGCTATCCCCCAAGTCACAAGCAGTTAGGTCCCATGCCAAGGCCTGCCCAAAGAGATGGGGACTGTCCCTGAAGCCTTGGGGTAGGACTGTCCATGTCGGCTGTTGAGACCTAAAGGATGTAGGGTCTTCCCACCAATGGGAACAATGGGAGAGAGTTTTAGGATTTCCTCTAGCAAGGAAAACTTGGGCAGTAGAACAGATAGAACAGAAGGTGGGACCAGAGCGGATGTCCCAAAAAGCCTGAATATAAGGAATTTGTACCCATTTCCCTGTCAGGCTACAGAAGTTATCTAAATCAGTGAGGACTTGAAAGTCAAACGTTC